GCAGCCTCTTCACTTCCTCCTCGGTTGTATGTATTGTATCCAACATTTGATGGTGTACCCCACCTCTCCATCTTTCCGGAGTCCCTTCTGTCTCCTCTGTGATCACTTCTTTCAATCTCATGTTGAGCTCCTCAGTTACTTCTCGGTTATTTCTTGTGATCTCCCCTCCTTCCTTCCTCAGCTTGATTACCTAGTCCTTGACTGTTTTTTCCTCCTGACGTGGCAGTACAACAGCTTTTGTTGCTATGTCATTTTCGTATTGTCGTTGGGTTTTCCCTCTTACCTGTGCATATTCATTTCTGGCTCTACTACTTCTCTCCTTATTCTCCTGGGTCCTTTGCCTTCTATACTTCTTCCATTCTGTAGCTCAATTTTTTTTGGCCTCTCTACATCTTTGGGTGAGCCAAGGGCTCATCTTGGCCTTATCGTTATTTCTGTTACCCATGGGTACAAGCCTCTCCTCAGCTTACTTGCATATTGTTGTCATATATACTATCATCTCATTTACTGACCTCCCTGCCAGTTCTCTGTCTTACTGAATCTCGTGCAGAAAATTCTTCATGCCTGTGTAGTCCCCTCTATTGTAGTTTGGCTTCATTCGTCCTGACCTTCCTGCTTTCCTCTTCACTTGTAGCTCTACTATGTATTTGAAGCTCAGAACCACTTTATCACTTGCCCCGAGGGGTCTTTCGTATGTGATATCCTCAATTCTGCACTACTCAAGGTGAAATGCTAGATCCAGTCTTGCTGGTTCGTCCTCTCCTCTCTCTGGTAGTGTCCCTTACGTGTTGGTACACGAGGTTTTCCAGAACCACTTCCATCATCTGAGCCGTTCATGTTTCTGGCCCCCATGTGGCTCCAGGTTCTCCCACTCACTTTCCTTGTGACTGAAGTGGCCATTCTGGCCACTTCAGCCAGTGTGTCAACCATCGCTCTGTTTCTCTCATCATATTCTTGTCTTGGCTTCTTGCTGTTCTGTGGTGGGTTATACATCACTGCAATTACCACCTTGGGACCTCTAGACTGAAGTGTTCCTATTTCATAGTCTGTTGCTTCTTCTCTGGTCACAGGCTGGTCCGCTAGGGAGTTGATCCCCAAAACCCTCTCCAGACATACCCCAACAACTCACGAAGACCACAGTATTACAAAAGAAGCTGAAGGTTTGGCGCACCATCGCATACGGAATAACAAATAAATGTCAGGAGTGGCATGAAAGAATCATGGAGACATCCCCAGACAAATGATGCTTACGTAATGTACAGATAGACGAGCTGAGTAGGATGAGGAGTGACTACATCAAAAACCAGTGAAGATCTGAGAAATGGAAGGATGACAGAATGAATCAAGGGACTACATAGAAAATGGTGATGGCGGTGATGTACAACCCATCACAAAATAAGGAGGCAAAAGGAATAATAAGATGAAATCAAGAGAGCAATGATTGATATACAAGCTGTGTTGGACAGCCGGGCCTACATGGGCAGGGCAAAGATACTATCTGCGGGTGATTTCAGTCACAAGGAGACTGACTGGGAAAACCTGGAACCACATGTGGGACCAGAAACGTAGAGAGTTAAGATAATAGAGGTGGTACTGAAAAACTTCATATACCAACAAGTCAGAGAAAGGAGAAGGTAAACCAGCAAGGCTTGACCTCGTATTCACCTTGAGCAGTATTGACATGGAAGACATCACACATGAAAGTCCCCTCAGAACTATTGACCACATGGTCCTGAGCTACGAATGCATGGTAGAGTTACAAGTGGAGAGTGAAGTAGCACGAGTAGAACGGGAGAAGCCCAACTACTAAAGAGGGAACTACACAAGCATGATGAATTTTCTGCATAAGGTATAGTGGGAAAGAGAACTGGTGGGGAAAAACAGTATATAAAATGATGGAATACATGACCACAAAATGCAAGGAGGCAGAGGAGAGGTTCATACCCATGAGCAACAGAAACAATAGGAAGACTAAAACGAGTTTTTGGTTCACCCAAAGTTGCAGAGAGGCCAAAACTAAGTGCACTAGAGAACGGAAAAATTGTAGAAGACAAAGACCCAGGAAAATAAGAATAGCGGAAGAGCCAGAATGAATACGCGTGGATAAGGAGGAAGGCCCAGTGCCAACACGAGAATGATATAGCATCGAAAAAAACAATGGTAAAGGATCAGGTAATCAGACAGGAAGCATGGACGAGAGATCACAAAAAAAGTATGCATGTGAGAAGCTCAACACGAGATTCAAGAAAGTGTTCTCAGTGGAGACAGAAAGGTCTCCAGTAAATTGAGATGGAAGGGTACACCAACCTATTACATTGGACCTATTACATTCAACAGGGATGAGGTGAAGAGGCTACTAAGTGTGCTAGATACCTCAAAGGCTGTACAACTGGACATCTTTCTGTGTGTCCTGAGAGAGGGAGCAGAGGCGCTGTGTGTGCCACTAACAACAATCTTCCACACATTCATGGAAATGTGACGAGTACTTGAAGTGTGGAAGACGGCAAATTTAGTCTCGGTCTTTAAGAAAGGAGACAGACAGTTGACATTAAGCTACTGACCAGTGTAACTGACATGCATAGGTGAAGCACCTTGAAAGGATTGAAGGGAAGGGAAATCCTGTGTCACAAACCTACTTGAGTTTTACGACAAAGTGACAGAAGTAAGACACGAGAGAGATGGGTGGGTAGACTGCATTTTCTTGGACTGCAAGAAGTCCTTTGACACAGTTCTGCACAACAGATTAGTGCAAAAGCTAGATGAACAGGCAGGAATAACATGAAAGGCATTGGAGTAGATCAAAGAATACCTAACAGGAAGGAAATAACGAATGATGGTAGGTGATGAACTATCAGAGTGGGTGCCTGTGACGAGCGGGGTTCCACAAAAGTCAGTCCTAGGTAAAGTGCTGTTTCTGGTTTATGTGACTGACATGACGGAAAGGATAGATTCAGAGGTGTCTCTGCTTGCAGACTATGTGAAGCTAATGCGAAGAATTCAAGCGGATGAGGATCAGAAGGGACTGATCTGGACATTCTTCAAGCCTCGTCCAACAACTGGATCCTGGAGTTTAACCCCACGAAGTGCAATCATGAAGATTACGGAAGGTCGAAGAAGACCGCAGGCAGAGTAAAAGCTAGGGGGCCAAAGACTACAGACCTCACTCAAGGAAAAGGATTTTGGGATGAATATAATAGCGAACACATCTGAGGCGCACATCAACCAAAAACTGCTGCAGTATATGGGCGCCTGGTAAACCTATGAATAGCGTTTCGACACCTGATGTAAGAAATCATTCAAGACTCTGTATACCGTGTTATTAAAGTATGCAGCACCAGTATGGAACCCACCCTGGTCAAGCAGGTCAAGAAATTATTGAAAGCTCGAAGGTTTACAACAAGACTAGTCCCGGAGCTAAAGGGTATATCCTACGAGGAGAGGTTAAGGGAAATTACCCTGACTATACTGTAGGACAGGAGGGATAGGGAGGACTTGATAACGACATATAAAATACTGAGAGGAAGTGACAGGTAGTATTAGGGATATAATGTTTCAGAGATGGGGCACAGCAACTAAGGGACACTACTGGAAGTTGAAGACTCAGATGAGTCAAAGGGATGTCAGGAAGTAATTCTTCACCCACGGATTTGTTAGGAAGTGGAGCAATCCGGAGAGTGATGTAGTGGAGGCAGGATCTACTACATAGCTTGAAGATGAGATACGACAAAGCTCATGGAGAAGGGAGAGAGTGGACCTAGTAGCGACCAGCGAAGAGGCGGGGCCAATAGCTGTGACTCGACCCCTACACCCACAAGCAGGTGAGTACACAGAGGAGCGGTGTAACCCGAGAGAGACCTGAGGAGCGGTGTAACCTGAGAGAGACCTGAGGAGCGATGTAACCCGAGAGAGACCTGAGGAGCGGTGTAACCCGAGAGAGACCTGAGGAGCGGTGTAACCCGAGAGAGACCTGAGGAGCGGTGTAACCCGAGAGAGACCTGAGGAGCGGTGTAACCGAGAGAGACCTGAGGAGCGGTGTAACCCGAGAGAGACCTGAGGAGCGGTGTAACCTGAGAGAGACCTGAGGAGCGATGTAACCCGAGAGAGACCTGAGGAGCGGTGTAACCCGAGAAGACCTGAGGAGCGGTGTAACCCGAAGAGACCTGAGAGCGGTTAACTCGAGAGAGACCTGAGGAGCGGTGTAACCCGAGAGACATCTGAGTAGCGGTGTAACCAGAGAGACTGAGAGCAGTGTAACCCGAGAGAGACCTGAGGAGCGGTTGTAACCCGAGAGAGACCTGAGGAGCGGTGTAACCTGAGAGAGACCTAGGAGCGATAGTAACCCGAGAGACCTGATGACGGTAAACCCGAGAGAGACCTAGGAGCGGTGTAACCCGAGAGAGACTAGGAGCGGTAGTAACTCGAGAGAGACCTGAGGAGCGGTGTAACCCGAGAAGATCTGAGGAGCGGTGTAACCCGAGAGAGACCTGAGGAGCGTGTAACCCGAGCAGACCTGAGGAGCGGTGTAACCCGAGAGAGACCTGAGGAGCGGTGATACCCAGAGACCTGAGGAGCGGTAACCCGAGAGAGACCTAGAGCGGTGAACCGAGAGGACCTGAGGAGCGGTGTAACCCGAGAAGACCGAGGAGCGTGTAAACCCAGAGAGACTGAGGACGATGTAACCCGAAGAGACCTGAGGAAACGGTGTAACCCGAGAGAGACTAGCAGCGGTGTAACCCGAGAGAGACCTGAGGAGCGGTTAACCCAAGACCTGAGGAGCGGTGTAACCGAGAGACACCTCAGGGCGGTGTAACCACAGAGACCTGAGGAGCGGTGTACCCAAGAAGACCGAGAGCGGTGTAACCCGAGAGAGACTCAGGAGCGGTGTAACCCGAGAGAGACCTCAGGAGCGGTGTAACCCGAGAGAGACCTGAGGAGCGGTGTAGCCACAAAAAACGAATAACAGCATAATAAAGTCTAGTAACCGGTCGCCAGCCTCAGTTGCTCTGTGAATCTCAGTGAGGTAGGGTACACTTACAATGTGCTGCTGTTTATATTTAATTTTTGTGGTTGCTGTTGTGTGGACCAACGTAACCAACACGTTGGCGCAAGGTGAGTATACACTACTAGTGTACCTGTTAATATATATCACCAGCATAGCTATCAGTATACATCATCAGTGTAGCTACCATTATAAACCATCAGTGCAGCTACCAATATACATCACCAGTGTAGCTATCAGTATACACCACTAGTGTAGCTGTCAGTATACACCACCAGCGTAGCTGTTGGTATACACCACCAGTGAGGCTTCAGTACACACCACCAGTGTAGCTGTCGGTATACACCACCAGTGTGGCTGTCAGTATACACCACTAATGTACCTGACAAAATACACCACCAGTGAGACTTCAGTATACACCACCAGTCAAGGTTCATTATACACCACCAGTCAGGGTTCATTATACACCACCAGTCAGGGTTCATTATACAGCACCAGTCAGGGTTCATTATACACCACCAGTCAGGGTTCATTATCACCCCCTATTTTGGGCCCCAACCGGTTTTAGGGTATCCCCATTAGGTAATTACACCCCACAAGGTTAACCGTCAGCAGGTTTACACCAAATGTTTAGAATAACCATTACGCTACCAACCCCATGGTTTCAAAATAACCTCAGGTTTGCCATATGCCCCCCCCCAATAACCCAAAAGGGTTTTGATACCCACAGGCTATAGCTTCAAAGGGCTAAACTTAAAAGGTGCCCAGACCCAAACGGATAGTAGCCAGGGCTAACTAAAACCTGTAAGCTAACGCAACGGGGTTGTAAAACAAAGTACCATATTACGTAGGTCCCCCCATTGCCATTCAAGCCATAGTGTACTCCCATTCGCCCTTTTGTTTCCTTGCCTAGTCCCAAAATTTCAAAAATTTAACATTTTTCCGTTCCCAACCCCCGGTTTCTACACATACCATTTTCTCAAAACTTCAGTGGCTAATCACCCGTGGCTCTTTTCCACCCTTCGCCCAGGTGCCTTTCAGGATCCCTCCAGTTTGCTAGGTTTGTCCACACACGCTACCGGTTTGCTACAGTGTTGTCATCAGCATACGCTACCAGTGTTTACCCTCAGCATACGCTACCAGTGTTCACCCTCAGCATACGCTATACCAGTGTTACACATCATTTCATTTATCCGCCTATCATAGTGGCTACAGTGTTGTCATCAGCATAACGCTACCAGTGTATACCCTCAGACATACCTACCAGTGTTACCATCAGCATACGCATCAGTGTTGCTACAGTGTGTGTCATCAGCCATGCGCTACCAGTGTTGCTACAGTGTGTTTCATCACATGCGCTAGCAATTTTGCTACAGTGTTACCATCACATGCCCTACCAGTGTTGCTACAGTGTTGTCATCAGCATGCGCTACCAGTGTGCTACAGTGTTGTCACATCAGCATGCGCTACCAGTGTTGCTACAGTGTGTCATCAGCATGCGCTACCATGTTGCTACAGTGTTGTCATCCTCATGCGATACCAGTGTTGCTACGTGTTGTCATCAGCATGCGCTACCAAGTGGTTGCTTACAGTGTGTTACCATCAGCATACGCTACCAGTTTTTACCCTCAGCATACGCTACCAGTGTTACTATCAGCATACGCTATCAGTGTGGCTACAGTGTTGTCATCAGCATACGCTACCAGTGTTATCCTCAGCATACGCTACCAGTGTTACCATCAGCATACGCTACCAGTGTTACCCTCAGCATATGCTACCAGTGTTACTATCAGCATACGCTATCAGTGTGGCTACAGTGTTACCATCAGCATACGCTACCAGTGTTACCATCAGCATACGCTACCAGTGTTACCCTCAGCATAAGCTACCAGTGTTACCATCAGCATACGCTATCAGTGTTACCATCAGCATACGCTACCAGTGTTGCTACAGTGTTGTCATCAGCATGCCCTACCAGTGTTGCTACAGTGTTGTCATCAGCATGCGCTACCATGTTGCTACAGTGTTTGTCATCAGCATGCGCTACCAGTGTTGCTACAGTGTTGTCATCAGCATGCGCTACCAGTGTTGCTACAGTGTTGTCATCAGCATGCGCTACCAGTGTTGCTACAGTGTTGTCATCAGCATGCGCTACCAGTGTTGCTACAGTGTTGTCATCAGCATGCGCTACCAGTGTTGCTACAGTGTTACCATCAGCATACGCTACCAGTGTTACCCTCAGCATACGCTACCAGTGTTACTATCAGCATACGCTATCAGTGTTGCTACAGTGTTGTCATCAGCATACGCTACCAGTGTTACTATCAGCATACGCTATCAGTGTTGCTACAGTGTTGTCATCAGCATACGCTACCAGTGTTACCCTCAGCATACGCTACCAGTGTTACCCTCAGCATACGCTACCAGTGTTACTATCAGCATACGCTATCAGTGTTGCTACAGTGTTGTCATCAGCATACGCTACCAGTGTTACTATCAGCATACGCTATCAGTGTTGCTACAGTGTTGTCATCAGCATACGCTACCAGTGTTACTATCAGCATACGCTATCAGTGTGGCTACAGTGTTGTCATCAGCATGCACTACCAGTGTTGCTACAGTGTTGTCATCAGCATACGCTACCAGTGCTGCTACAGTGTTGTCATCAGCATACGCTACCAGTGTTGCTACAGTGTTGTCATCAGTATACGCTACCAGTGTTGCTACAGTGTTGTCATCAGCATACGCTACCAGTGTTGTTACAGTGTTGTCATCAGCATACGCTACTAGTGTTGCTACAGTGTTGTCATCAGCATACGCTACCAGTGTTGCTACAGTGTTGTCATCAGCATACGCTACCAGTGTTACCATCAGCATACGCTACCAGTGTTACCATCAGCATATGCTATCAGTGTTACCATCAGCATACGCTACCAGTGTGGCTACAGTGTTGTCATCAGCATACGCTACCAGTGTTACCATCAGCATACGCTACCAGTGTTACCATCAGCATACACTACCAGTGTTACCATCAGCCTACTCTACCAGTGTTATCATCAGCATACGCTACCAGTGTGGCTACAGTGTTGTCATCAGCATACGCTACCAGTGTTGCTACAGTGTTGTCATCAGCATACGCTACCAGTGTTACCATCAGCATACACTACCAGTGTTACCATCAGCATACGCTACCAGTGTTACCATCAGCATACGCAACCAGTGTTACCAGCAGCATACGCTACCAGTGTGGCTACAGTGTTACCATCAGCATACGCTATCAGTATTACCATCAGCATAAGCTACCAGTGTGGCTACAGTACTGCCATCAGCATAAGCTACCAGTGTAGCTACAGTGTTACCATCAGCATACGCTATCAATATTACCATCAGCATATGCTATCAGTATTACCATCAGCATACGCTACCAGTGTGGCTACAGTGTTGTCATCAGCATACACTACCAGTGTTACCATCAGCATACGTTACCAGTGTTACCATCAGCATACGCAACCAGTGTTACCATTAGCATACGCTACCAGTGTTACCAGCAGCATACGCTACCAGTGTTACCATCAGCATACGCTACCAGTGTTACCATCAGCATACACTACCAGTGCTACCATCAGCAAACGCTACCATTGCTACTATCAGCATACGCTACCAGTGTTACCATCAGCATACACTAAGGGTTTAGCCAACGCTATATATTACAAGTGTTGTTAACAGCTCATTATATAATTTTATCTTACTAGGATCTGTAAATTGATTTTCTGCGGTCATTCAAGAGACTTTAATATGTTGTTTCTACCGTGGTTGCTGGTGTGCCAGGATAAATGTCTCTGTTGCCAGGAAAAGTACAATAAGTGTTTAGTGCCTGGAAACGTGTGTGTTGCCTGGATACGTGTGTGATGCCTGGATACGTATGTGATGCCTGGTTACGTGTGTGATGCCTGGATACGTGTGTGATGCCTGGATACGTCTGTAGTGCGTGAATACGTCTGTGGTGCCTGGATACGTCTGTGGTTCCTGGATACGTATGTGGTGCCTGGACACGTGTGTGGTGCCTGGATACGAGTGTGGTGCCTGGTTATGTGTGTGATGCCTGGATACGTCTGTAGTGCGTGGATACGTCTGTGGTGCCTGGATACGTCTGTGGTACCTGGATACGTATGTGGTACCTGGACACGTGTGTGGTGCCTGGATACGAGTGTGGTGCCTGGTTACGTGTGTGGTGCCTGCATACGTGTGTGGTGCCTGCATGCGTGTGTGGTGCCTGCATACGTGTGCGGTGCCTGGATACGAGTGTGGTGTATGGTTACGTGTGTGGTGCCTGGATACTACGTGTGTGGTACCTTGATACGTATGTGGTGCCTGGTTACGTGTGTGGTGCCTGCATACTACGTGTGTGGTACCTGGATACTTGTGTGGTGCCTGGTTTCGTGTGTGGTGCCTGGATACTACATGTGTGGTACCTTGATACGTGTGTGGTGCCTGGTTACGTGTGTGGTGCCTGCATACTACGTGTGTGGTACCTGGATACTTGTGTGGTGCCTGGTTACGTGTGTGGTGCCTGGATACTACATGTGTGGTACCTTGATACGTGTGTGGTGCCTGGTTACGTGTGTGGTGCCTGCATACTACGTGTGTGGTACCTGGATACGTGTGTGGTGCCTGGTTACGTGTGTGGTGCCTGGTTACATGTGTGGTGTCTAGATACGTGTGTGGTGCCTGGTTACGTGAGTGGTGCCTGCATACTACGTGTGTGGTATGTGGATACGTGTGTGGTGCCTGGTTACGTGTGTGGTGCCTGGTTACGTGTTTGGTGCCTGGATACGTGTGTGGTGCCTGGATACGAGTGTGGTGTCTGGTTACGTGTGTGGTGCCTGGATACGAGTGTGATGCCTGGATACGAGTGTGGTGCTTAGTTACGTGTGTGGTGCGTGGATACGAGTGTGGTGCCTGGATACGTGCGTGGTGCTTGGTTTCATGAGTGGTGCCTGGATACGTGTGTGGTGCCTGGATACGTGTGTGGTGCGTGGATACGAGTGTGATGCCTGGATACGTGTGTGGTGCCTCGTTACGTGTGTGTGGTGCCTAGATACGTGTGTGG